CTGCTTACTACTGTTGTGAATGGGATTTTTCCCCCCTACTAAAACCCTCAGAAGTCCATGTGTTTACCCTGTATCTAGCCATGTTGCTGAACCCTTTCAAGGCCATTGTGATGATCTTTATAATTCCTTGAGTTTTAAAGTTGACAGTCATTTGAATGCCTCCCTGTGATTATTCCCTCTAGCTCCATCTCATTTTACTCCTAAAATAACATTCTGTTAGTCAGTCTGAGGAGGTGTTCTTGTTGTGGTCTGCATCTTAATAGAAGTGCTTGCTTTTTAAATCATGTTGAAGAGCTATCTTGAATAACCTCTTCCTCAGACCCTTGTGCTTGAAATGACTAATGACTGTACATGTAAAAATGTGGGTGTTAAAAATTCAGTATCTGAAGAGAGAAAGATGTGCTTTTTTATTCCCCCGCAGGTCCCTGGGTGTGACGCTATGGGAGCTCTTTGAGAACGCTGCTCAGCCTTATTCCAGCCTCTCCAACTTAGATGTGCTCAACCAGGTCATTCGAGAGAGAGACACAAAACTCCCAAAGCCCCAGCTGGAGCAGCCCTACTCCGACAGATGGTGGGTAACTTCATGTCACATTATCTCAGAAGGTGGAGAAATTCTGTCTCCACAGGTCTTAGCTATATATTCCCTGATTTTCAACAGTAAATGTTATGAAAAGCAACCATTTATATACTATCATGACTGATTTTAGAATTAATGTCCAGTTTTTAAGATGTAATGCTGTTTTTTTTTTGTTTTTGTTTTTTTTTTGATGTAGAACCAGCAGGAATTTATGTCTTACATGTGATAAGAAACGTGTTACATCTGAGTTAATTCTAAGAATCAGTTTAAGGGCGTGTGCTCTTGTGGAGTTGTTTTTGAACGAGTCTGTTTGTGTGATACCCCGGCGTGTGTGACCAGACAGGTAGCATAGACGTGATGGAGTTTGAATTGGCACCTGAGACAGTTTGCATAATGTGTGTTGACATTTGCAAAACAAATTTACTTCTTAAGAGTCTCCAGACCCGTTCTTAACTCGGTTTCCAGTTAGAGCCAGGCTCACCCATGCCGAGGCCCCTGTCCGCGTCACCCTGTACTCGGCTTGCGTTGCCTCTGCACCTTGGTGCCCTTCTGTGTGGGCGCTGCTCAGCCCCTCACCCGACTTGCTAGAACTAACTCACCCAGAATAACTGGATGTTTATGCCGTAAATTTAATACCGTGACACTGGCATCCTGTCTTCCCTTCCACTCACGGCCGCAGTTTAAGGCGTTGGCCTTATTCAGCCAACCCTTTGAAGACCAGCCCCTGACTGCCACCTGCTCTGGGCTTCTGTTTCTGCTCTTGCCCTCCACCCTCAGCTCCTTTGGTGGCCTGAGGGAAGCATGTGCTGCAGAAGGTTGTGCTGGTCCTTTCTGTCGGGGGAGTCGGAGAGTAGTCCTCATGGCGTGTGTCTGCGTGAGTCCTCGCAGAATAGAGTGAGTCTCACACGTCAAGACACGTGCATCCTTGACTAAGCAGGAGACCGATGGCAGTTGTGTTCAGAGGAGAGCATCTTAGGGCTGCTTGTAAATTCAATGGCTGAGCGCCTGGAAAACGCCAGAACAACAAACGACCAGGCCAGAAGAATTGCACTGATGCTACACGGTGTCCTGAGGATGCAGAAAATCAGTGGCCAGATTCTCTCTCCATTTCCACTTTCCCCCAGAGCTCACCGTGAACCAGACTCCTGCTGGTGGCCAGCAAAGTGATTCAAGTGTCGGGACTTCTGGGGTGTTGAGCTGGCCTAGGGGGTCCTTGTGAGGTCTTTGCTTGTTTTGAAACTATTTGTCATCTGTCCACTAATCTCCTGTCCGTCTTGCTCAGGTATGAAGTCTTGCAGTTCTGCTGGCTGTCACCAGACAAGCGGCCAGCAGCGGAGGACGTGCACAGGCTACTCACCTACCTGCGGATGCAGAGCCAGAGGGACCCCGAAGTGGACTTTGAGCAGCAGTGGAATGCGCTCAAGCCCAACGCAAACAGCAGAGATGCTGCAAGTAACGCTGCCTTCCCCATCCTCGACCACTTCACCAGGGACCGGCTTGGCCGAGAGATGGAGGAGGTCCTCACCGTGACCGAGACCAGCCAAGGCCTGAGCTTCGAGTACGTCTGGGAGGCTGCCAAGCACGACCATTTCGACGAGCGCAGCCGAGGCCCCCCGGATGAAGCCTTGTCCTACACCAGCATCTTCTTTCCCACGGAAGCGTTCGAGAGCTCGCTTTCAGACCCCGGTCCTGGCAAGCAGAATGATGGTGGCCAGGACGTCCCCCTGCGGGCCCCTGGGGTGGTGCCCGTTTTCGACGCCCACAATCTTTCTGTTGGAAGCGACTACTACATCCAGTTAGAAGAAAAAAGCCGTAGCAACTTGGACCTAGATTACCCGCCCACTCTGCTCACGACAGAGATGGATAATCCTGAGAGGCTCGGGGACAGCGTGTCCCAGTGTCCGACGCTCAGGAGCCTGGAGCTTGAGGAGTCCAGTACAGAGGAGGATTTCTTCCAGAACAGTGCAGACCCCAAAGAGGCCAGCAGACCCGAGGAGGCCCACAGCACCAAGGGCCCCGAGAGCCCTTTCAACAGTTTATTTAATGACCTTGACAAGTCAGAGGCTCTGCCCAGTCACCAAAAAATATTTGACTTGATGGAACTAAATGGTGTCCAAGCTGACTTTAAGCCGCCCACCCTGAGTTCAAATTTGGATGACCCCAAAGAGTCAGTAATTGCGCGCCACTTGGAGAAGGAACAGCCCCGTAAACTTTTTGACTGCGAGCCTCTTTACTCCACAGACAAGCTCGTACACCAAGATGGTTTTGATCAGCTGGACATTGAAGAGTTGTCAGAAAATTTTTTGTTTCTTCAAGAGAAGAACTTACTGAAAGACTCCTTGTCCAGCAAAGAGCATGTAAATGATCTGCAGACAGAACTCAGAAATGCTGGCTTTCCTGAATACATGTTAGAAACTCCCAGTAGAAAGTCTGTAAAGGCTGAGCCTAAGTTTGCTGAAAATAAACCAGACTCTTCGCTGCAGGAGAGCGTCAGCGTGCAGGGCAGGGAGTCAGGCGCAGCGCCCAAGGGTGGCTCTGGGGCGGCAGCCTCACCGCGCTCCCCACAGCCGCAGGTACCTCCTACCTCGCTTGAAACCCAGGGGCCTCCTCACGAAGTGCCCCCGGGTGTAGCCCTGAAGCAGGGCGAAGACAGGCCCACGTGTCCAGAGGGCGGTGTCCGTGAAGACGGCGCCTGCCGAGAGGTAAACGCGGGCTCCACACCCGCCCCACCGGACACTCCCGCCCCAACTGGCGATGGGTCCCCGGCCCTGACTCAGCAGGGGGAGGGGGCCGTGAGCCTGACCCAAAGCGACCCCAGCCTGGTCCAGGACACCTCCGCCAGCAAGGTGAGTATAGGGAACGGCCTTCCGGAATTGAGGCAGAGCTTACAAAACCAGCTGCCTTTGGAAGACCACGGCCCTCGAGGCCTGCGGGAGCGAGCCCGGGAGGCCGCGGAGGTGCTGGGGCAGCCGGGTCGTGAAGAGGCTGCTGCAGAGGGGGGCGGCCTGGCGTCCGCCCTCTCCTCAGACTCGGCCAGTCAGGACAGCCTCCTGGGGGACAGCTTGTCGGCGCCCGTCCCCCCCTCCGAGCCATCCGCAGAGACCCCAGACTCCCTGGATTCGGTGGACGTCCACGAGGCTTTCCTGGGCTCCTTAGGTCCTCACACGCCACAGAAACTCCTGACCCCCGACAAGCCAGCGGACAGCGGCTACGAGACAGAGAACCTGGAGTCGCCTGAGTGGACGCTGCACGTGGCCCCTGAGGGCGCCGCGGCGCCTGACACGGCCTCAGCGCGTGCGGGCACTCCCGACAGGCTGCCTCCCAAGCCCATCATTGTCATCTCAGATGCCGCTGACGGCCACAGAGGTGCGGAGGCGACCTCACAGACCGCCGCACCTGCGTCCCAGGGCTCCCACCGAGACTCCGCGTACTTCTCGGACAACGACTCTGAGCCCGACAGGAGGTCGGAGGGGGCCCTGGGCACCTCAGTGTCAGCCCTAGGAGCCGACCAGCCCCTGCCCGAGAGTGTCCCGCCGCAGAGTCCTGGCCCCCTGGACAGCTGCCTGGACGCCAGCAGCAGCCCGCCTGACCCCAGCTGTCCTCCTGCTCTGCAGAACTCCCGTCACCTGGAATCCAGAGAACCTACAGAACCAGCTCCCACACACATACTTCCCCCCGACGACGAGGCTGGCAGCCCCTCGAGTCTGCAGAACTCAGAGCTCAGCAGCGGGGATGACCTCGAGGCCCCCGAGGAGCCCCCCTGCATGCTGACTTCCACTGGCACCAACACTGATGAACTCCTGGCGTTGACCCACACCCCTCTCCGCTGCGGCGGCCCCGCGGCCCCGACAGACGAGAAGGCCTTGTGCGGCCACTCCGAGGGCCCCAAGCTGAAGGAGCCGGACGTGGAGGGAAAGTACCTGGGGAAGCTCGGCGTGTCGGGGATGCTGGACCTCGCCGAGGATGGGATGGATGCCGATGAGGAGGACGAGAACAGTGAAGACTCGGACGAGGACCTGCGGGCCTTCACCCTGCACAGCCTGAGCTCCGAGTCTGAGGACGAGGCCGAGCACCCGGTGCCCGTCGTCCTCAGTCGCGAGGACGGCCGCTGCCTGCGGAGCCTGCTGAAGCCCGCGGACCCACCGCCTGGCTGGAGGAGGGAGAGGAAGGCGGTGACGTTTTTCGATGACGTCACAGTCTATCTCTTTGACCAGGTATCTGTTCCCTGTCCCCTCTGGGTTGTCATGTTGGAGATTCCAGCATGTGTCAGGGAAATGAGTGTGCTCGGGTTTTCTGACTGCCGTTCTGAGGACACCAATTGTTTTGTGATTTTCTCAGAAAAAGGAATTTGGGGGTGGTTACCATGTCAGTTTCAAGAACATGCAGAAGCGAGGTTTGCACTGGGAACTCCTGTCACGTGAAGGGGAAGGGTCTGTGGGCTCCTCCTGGGTGTCCTGGCAGAGCCCTGCTGAATCACTCGTCCTTTCCAGAGCAGACAAGTGTCCGTGGGCGGTCAGCCGCAACGCCCAGCACCCCGGGGCGGCTGGAACCTTCCGAGGCTCACATGTAGCCCGGAGACACGGACAGCGGCGGTGCCTGTGGAGCAGGGCCGAGTTGGCGAGACCGCAGGGCGGGGCGAGCAGGGATCACCTGGTCTCAGCCTTTGTGTTTTGTCTGTCAAAAGCTGTTCAAATTCACGTGTCCCTTCCTTCATCTTCTCAGCGCACTTGAACTGTGCCTTTCATAGGTCGGATGACCTGTAGGTGGAATAGAAAGAGTTATAAATTGTGTGTTGTGAGCAGTGTGGGCAGGCACTGGGGAAGATGTCTGGGGGTCTCTGGAGCATTGAGGTGGAGCCCACCCCCGTGGAAGCCGCCACCTGGGCAACGGAAGGGCTGCACTTGTGTGGGGACTTGGTGGGGAGGGGGTGTTGTTCTGATGGGTTCAGAAGCCGGCAGGATTGCCTAAGAGCCAGACTCAAGGCATGAGAACAAAGGCACGGAAATCAAGTGTATGGCATGCTTAACAGATGTGAGATGTGTCACGGTGAAAGTGGGAATGTGGGCGAAGTCCCGAACAAAGTCCTGAAAATCTTACTAGATGTGAGGTTTATCACAGTGAAAGTGGGAACATGGGCGAAGTCCCAAGTAAAGTCCTGAAAAGCTCCTGCAGTGGCCAGTGGGTCCCATGCAGCTTCCGTGGAGTCACAGCTACCTGTGGCTTCAGACTGCTGGCCGGCAGGTTCCCTCCTCTTGCTGTCCGGCTTCATGAGCCTGTTTTGAGTGGTTTGGTTGTGAAGTGACTTAGGTCCCTAAGCTCCGGAGTCTTCGCTGAGCATCATGGGCTCTGGCCGCTCTGCCTTGGTCGTCTCACCGCTGGTTCAGCGGGTGCTTGGGGAACGCTTACTCAGCTTTCTTGTGAAGTCACAGCCCGAGTGAGCGTCTGGGTGCTGCCCTTCCCAAGCAGGGTCTCCTTAGCTTCGCTACGCAGCGGGGGTCTCCCCACATTCCTCACAGGCCCTTCCATGAGCCTGGTGGGCGCATTTGACCCTCGGCTCTTGCTCTGCGCACCAACCCCCCCGCCCCCGCTGTCCGGACTCACAGCGTTCTCTCGGCCATCACAGTGAATGGTGATGCTTACTTGCAGGTCAGGTGACACGGTCACACCATTCAGCCTGTCACAGGACAGGTGAGCTCTGAGCTTAGGCCCATGCGTCCTGGCGCTGGTCACTATGGCGACAGGGCCCAGCCGACAGTGTGGGAGGTGGTGTCACAGCCCAGAGCCCCCAGAGTCTGTGAGGTCCTGGGGCAGATAGGGATCTGGGGGTCTGTGTGCTGCGTTTCTTTAGTTCATTCGGTTTACAAGAACATGTTCCTTCAAAAAAAAAAAAAAATGCAATGAGCATAAGGAAAAATACTTTCTTGGGAAAAATTGTTTTTCAATTTAAAGAACAGAAAAACACTCAAGAAAACCAAACCTCTCAGTAATTGCTACCACTTCATTTACATACACACACCAGAAATTATTTGCTGAAAAGCATTCAAGAAAACAAAACTTGTCTGTAATTCCTACCATTTCACACACACACACACACACAAACACACACACGAAAGTAAGCGCTCTCCATAACTGCCCCCTCCAGAATAGAACTCTTCCATCCCCACAAAGTCCCTGCCACATCCCTCTCCTGGCAACCACTGACCTGCTTTTGTCACTGGAGTTCTGTCTTTTTCTAGAATCGTGTAAGTGGCAGGGGTGGTGGTGTTGTTTAGTCATTAAGTCAGGTCCAACTCTTTCATAACATAGAGTGTAGCCCACCAGGCTCCTCTGTCGACGGGACAAATCCTGGAGTGGGTGGCCAGTTCCTTCTCCAGGGGATCTTCCCGACCCAGAGATGGAACCCATGTCGTGTGTGCTGGGAGGCGGGTCCGTTACGGCTGAGCCGCCGGGGAAGGCCAGGCGGTGGGATTAGACCGTGTGTGACCTTGTGTGTCCAGAGCCTCACTCTGTAAAGCGTCAGGGAGTCCCCCCCACGCTCTGTACTCATCCCTGTGGAGCATTCCTTTGTGTGGGTGTTACGTTTTGTTCGTTAATCTGCTGGCCAATATTTACACCCAATTGTTTTTATTATTATTTTTTGTTTATTTTTTTAAACTGTTTTAAATCTTTTTAAAAGTTAAACAGTAAAATGGACCCTCTTTTGTGTGTGTGTACAATGCTGTAAACTTTAGCATTCATGTCACCCTCCGCAGAACCATGATAGACACAGCTCCCTCACCCCAGAAAACGCCCTGTGCTCACTCCTGCACCCCTAACCACCCCTGTATCATTTTACGTTCCCACCCGCAGCGTAGTGACACAGCGTGCAACCTTCGGAGGCTGACTGTTTTCGCTCAGAGTGTGATTCCTCTGAGCTGTAGGAGTTGTCGCTTGCTGCAGTAGTCCCTTCCTTTTAGACACATTCCATCTTACAGACATATGATCGTTTTAACCATTTACCCGCTGAAGCGCATTTTGGTGTTTCCGCTTTGGGGCTGTCACAGATAATGCTGCTTTGAACAACTGTTTGTAGGTTTTTGTGTGGACACAGTTTTTAATTTTTCTGAAAAGGCCCATGACTGTGATTGTTGGGTTGTATGATAAGTGTGTGTGTTTAGGCGCCTTTTTTTTTAACTGAAATATAATGAGGGACAGGGAAGCCTGGTGTGCTGCAGTCCATGGGGTTGCAAAGAGTTGACCAACGACTTAGTGACTGAGCAATAACAACAGTTGATTTATAGTGCATGTTTAGTTTTTAAAGAAAATGACAAACTTTTCCAGAGTGGCTGTATCATTTTACATTCCAGACAGCATATGTGAGACCTAGTTTCTCGTGTTTTGTTTGTTTTGTTTTGGCTGCACCATGAGGCTTGTGGGATCTTAGTACCCCAAGCAGGGAATGAATGCAGGCCCGTGGCGGTGAAAGCACCGCGTCTTAACCACTATACTGCCAGGCAAGTCCCCATTATTTTTTATTTTAGCTTTTCTAACAGATGTGAAGTAATACTTCATCATGATCTTAAACTGGATTTCCCTGTTGGATCATGATGTTGCCTGTCTGTTCGTGTGCTTCTTTGCTATCCATATGTCTTATTCAATGAAGTGCCCCTTTTGCCCATTTTCTAGGTGAATTCTCTGTGTTCTTTGAGTTTTATAAGTTCTACATAAGAGTCCTTCGTCAGATATATGGCTTGGAAATACTTCTCCCAATCTATGGCTTATCTTTCACAGAGCAAGGTTTTTAAATTTTGATGGATTCCAGTTTATAATTTTTTTTTTCCCGTTTATGGACCATGCTTTACATGTCATGTCTAAGTTCTTCACCAAACCCTAACTCCAGAATATTTACTCTAAAAGTTTTATATAGTTTTGCATTTTTCATTTCCATCTGTTACACGTTTTGAGATAGTTTTTGTATAATGTTTAGGTTGGGGTTCATTGTTTTGCCTCTGGATGGATGTCTAGTTGTTCCAGCACCATCTGTTGAAAAGATTATTCTCTATCCATTGAATTGCTTTTGCACCTTCATCAAAAGTTAAATGGCCATATTTTTAATGGATCTGTTTCTGGACTTTCTGCTCTATTCCATTGATCTGTATATCTTCCCCTTTACCAAAATTTTGGTTTCCATTTGCTTCTTGCCAGTATACAGAAATGTGGTTGATTTTTATATGTTGACTTTCCATCCTGCTGTACTGATTTATCAGTTCTAGGAATTTTGTTTTCAAATTCCTTGTGGTTTTCTACACAATCAAGCATGTTACCTGCAAATAGGGACAGGTTTGTTTATTCTTTTCCAAACTGTATCTCTTTCATTTCTTTTTCTTACCTTATTACACTGACTTCCAAGACAGTGTTCAGTAGAGCGGTTACATAACATTGATTGATTTTTCAATATTTAATGAGCCTTGCATTCCTGGAAAGTAAAGCCCACTTGGTTGTAATGTTCTTGTTACGTGTTGCTGGATTTGCTTTGCTGGTATGTTGTTGAGGATTTCATGAGGTCTGCATGTTGGCCTGTAATTTTGGGGGGTGTTTGACTACTTGGCTGACTTTTACTCTTGCTTTGTCTTTGGTTTGGTGTCAAGGTAATGCTGGTCTCATAAAGCGAGTTGGAAAGTCATAGTCGATTGAATAACACAGGTTTGAATGGTGTGGGTCCACTTACATGTGGGTTTTTTCACTAAACACCTACCAAATACTACACGATCCAAGATTGGTTGAATCTGTGAATGTGGAACCTTGGATATCAAGGGGCGACGGCACAGTTCCAGGGGGATCCTCAGCTGCACAGGAATCAGGGCCCTTGCCCCGTGGGCATCAGTCAGGGTCAGCTGCATAACCTCCTCTTCTGGGAAGAGATTGTGTGGATTTATTGATCTCTCTCTGAAGAACTGCTTTTGGTTTCATGGAATGTTTTCCTTTGTTTTCTTTTTAATTTTATCAATTTCTATTTTATCTTTTATTTCTTCTGCTTGCTTTGGATTTGTTTTGCTCTTTTTCTAGACTCTTAAAGTATAAGCAAGGGATTTGAGACCTTTTTTCATTCTACTATTAATATTTAATGCAATAAATTGCATTTTTCATTCAGTTCAAAATATTTTCTGATTTTCCTTGAGACTTTCCCTTTGACCCAAGGATTATTTATTTAAAAAAAAATACTGTTTAATTTCCAAGGGCTGGAGGTTTTTTGTTTTTTTTTTAACCTTTCTGTTACTGATTTTTGGTGTAATCTGTTTTGGTCAGAGAACCTGTTTTGTAGGGTTTCAATTCCTTCATATGTGTTGTTTTGTTTGTAGAGCCAGAATATGGTCTATCTTGGTAAATGTTTGGTCCATGTGCGCCTGAAAATGTGTATTTCACTTCTGATGGGTGGATTGTTCTATAAATGTCCAATGCACTTGGTTCATTTCTTCTGTACTGTTGCTGATTTTTCTACTTGTTCTATGCCTGAGTGAGAAGTGTTCATTGAAGTCTTCGGCTATATAAACAGATTTGTCTGTTTCTGTTTTCATTTCTGTCCATTTTTGCTTTGTCTGTTTCGTAGTTCTCTTGTTAGCTGTGTACACATTTAAAATTATTATATCTTCTTGGTGAATTGACCTTTTGTGTCATTCTGTAATGTCATTCTTTATTCCTTTGTCTGATATTCATAAAGCAACTCCAGCTTTCTTTTGACTAGTAATTATGTGCTGTCGCTTTTTTCCATCTTTATACATATCTGCATCCTTGTAGTTAACAGCAGTTTCTTCTGGATAGCACACAGTTAGGTGGTTTTTAAAATATGTTCTGAAATTTTTTGTCCTTCTGTTCATTGTTTAGTCACTAAGTCATGTCAACTCTTCTGTGACCCCATGGACTGTAGCCTGACACGCTCCACTGTCCAGATTTCCCAGGCAAGAATACTGGAGTGGGTTACCATTTCCTTCTCCCTTTTGTGTTTTAATTGGTATTTTTAGGCCACTCACATTTAATAGAGTTATTCAAGTGTGGATCTGGGTGCACCACTTCACTCAGTGTTTCTGTTTGTTCCACTCGTTCTTAATGGTTTTCTTCCGCTTTTTGCTTTCCTTTTGGTAATTTGAACAGTTTTTAGTCTTATCTTTTACCTATTGTATTTTTTACTATATATCTTCTTTTCGTATAGTTTTTGGAGTATTCTTGGGGTTACAATGTACATACTTCCCACAGCCTCCTTAGAATCAGTGTTTTACCGTTTCAAGTGGAATGTAGGAACCTCTTTGCTCTCTAGGTCCTTCACCCTCTCCTAGACCTTCTCTTCAAGTTGTCCCATGTGTCACGTGTTTCCTCATTGAACACCCCATCACACAGCGCTCTATGCTTTACTTCCAGTCATCAAACATACTTTAAGAAACCGAAGAGGATACTCTGGTTTCTCTTCAGATTGTATAAATCTTTCGCCTTTTACTAGAGCAACTGAAGAGGAATAGGATTATATTCACTCAGGTAGTTATCACTGTTCTTTTTCCATTTCTTATGTTCCAGGTTCCTTTCTCTTATCATTTCCCTTCTGTTTGTTTGGCTTTTTTTTTTTTTTTTTAAACAAATTCTCCTGGTGTTTCTTCATCTGAGAGTCTGTGTATTTCACACTCATTTCTTAAGGATGTTTTTCCTGAGCATGGACTTCTCAGGCCACAGTGCTTTACTTTCAGCATTGTTTCTGACTGCCTGTTCCTGACTGCCCTCAGGAGTCCGTCTGTGTCTTTCAGTATGATTATGGGTTTCTGGATTACAGGCATAGATTTCTTTGTTTCATTTTAAGTTCGTAGAGCTTTCTGAACTGGTAGTTTTGTATCTTTCAGCAGGTTTCAGAAGTTTCCAGGCATTATTTCTTACATACACATATATTTTATTCCACACTCTGTCTCTGCTTCTGGGACTCCAGTGTTATGCCTTTTGGTCTCTAGGATATAGGGGCTTCCCTGATGGCTCAGTGGTAAAGAACCCGCCTGCCAATGCAGGAAATGCGGGTTCCATCCCTGGGTTGGGAATATCCCCTGGAGGAGGAAATTGTAAACTCACTCCAGTATTCTTGCCTGGGAAACCCCATGGACAGAGGAGCCTGGCAGGCTACAGGCCATGGGGTAGCAAAAGAGTTGGACAGAACTTAGTGACCGAATCACTAGTCTGTAGGCCCTGAGGCTCCACCCCTGGCTTCCCCTCCAGTCTCTGCTCTCGCC